ACAGCTGAGTATAAACAATAAGACGATACACTATCATCTGTCTAAGAAGGACAAACATCATATCACTGAATTCACTGTATTTACTGACTGTCTCAACAACGCGTGAAATTGTGATTTCCTCTGAATAGCTGCTGAATCTCTGACTAAACATACTGGATGATTTGTCAGCAAATAAGCAATGAGTCAATTATGTTAGCAATGCTTCCACTATTATCCTGTAACTCAAGCTTCTCCGATACTCACAGATCGGGTGTTGCTTTCAAGAATATGGAGCCACCCTTCTCGCCCCCACCCCCCGCCTGCAGCTCCGGTAGCACCCTGGCCTCACCCCTATCTAGCCCCCTGCTGGGTGAGCCCTGGCTGGGGCAGTGCAGATGGAAGGGCCCCCCTCTGAGGGCCACGGCTCTGACAGCTTGTGAAGGGCCTGTGTGGGTCAGCCAGGCTCAGCCAGCAGCCCTTATCAGACACACAGCCCTCCCCCAGTCTGCAGAAACTGTGGTGTAGGCAATATGTAGACACGCAGACACACACACACACACAGACACACATACACATACACTCATGGACAGTGCATACAAAGTAGGGCCTTGAGATCCCCCAGCCAGCCAGTTGGCCAAACCTCAGCAGCTGGAGAGGTTAAAACCCCCTCACGTATCAAAGAGGAAGAGCAGCAGGAGGATGGAGGGAGGGAGGGATAGAGGAATGGGAGAAAAAAGGAGGAGAAAGTATATCTTCATGTTCACCGGGATGTCTGCCTCGGCGTCAATTCCCCCTGCGGCTGTCATTGGGAAGGTTAGGAGGGGAGATAGTGGATCTCAGCCCAGCCAGGGAGAGAGTAGAACGAGTATAGAGGCATTTCAGAGAGTGAAAATAATGTGGCTACTAGACTAGTTCAGGTAGTAGATTTTTACTTTACCTCTGTGGAGTTTGTGTGTTTGTGTATGTGTGCGTATACACTTGTTTCATTGATTCAGACAGGGTCTATTCTGTTTTACCATGAAAGTAGCATCCGTCCACTCAAAGTACAGTTTGTTTTTTTTGTTACTGACTTGTCATGTTCGGTTTAAACTCTCCTATATGTCTCCATACAGTGTAGTCATATGAATAAGGATAAGTATGTCTAGTTAATTACTTAGTTACCATTTCTTAATTCTTTTATTTAATATTTGGGAAATATTTTCTACATTTCTAAACCTTGCCTGTATCCTCAGTTTAAAACTTGCTGTGGCTCTTTTCGATTTTATGTTTTCTATAAGGTACAGTCATACTGCTAATCCTCCAACATCAAACTCAGAGTTTACTTTGAGTTAAGGAGTTAAGGTTGATACAACCAGACAGGAATCAAGATTGGGTGTGACATTGTGCTCCAGATACTGCATAGCTTCAAACGCTGCCCTGTTTTAAGTTAACACATTCACCATAATACTGCAGAGCCATGAGCCTGTCCCGTAAGCTGGTCACAGTAATGATCCCTTGTGACCCTTAGAGTGTGCTCTCTGTCCTTGATAAGGCACTAGGGGTGCTGTTGTGCCACTGATGGTGTGCAAGAAGCTCCCTGTGGAGGCAAAAGGAGTTGTCCTCTCAGGAATCAATAGGTTATCGTACATTTCTACCTGATAGACAGTTAGTGAAAACTTTTTCTCTGCTATTCCCTTTTACCTCTCTAACAACTTGTTCATCACATCTCAGTCAGTCAGTCAGTCAGTCCAGTGCAGCAAAGGTTCCCTCCTGCAGGAAAACCTCAGATCCAAACACGCTGGACTTCTTTTTTTTTTTCTTCTTTTTTTTTTGTCAGACTTTTTTCAAATTCAGTCCAGATAGACTTAAACTAGCACCATGCACTTCAGCTGGCACAGAGTAACAGTAAATGGTAGAGACAGATCTGTCTCTGTGAGGCTGAATGTAAATTTCATGACATGAAGTTGCATACAAGTGTCACAGTTCCAGTTTTGTAGCTCTCAAGTATCAGTCACCAAATCGTAAAACAATAGTCTTGCAAGGATGCACTGAAGAATTCCAGCCACCGAAACAAGAGGCCACTACACCACCTCTGTGCTTTGATTTTGTTGCTCTACTGTTTTGACTGTAGTGTCATTAAAGATTAGGTCATTCAGACACTCTAAACTTCTACATACAGAGTAGTAAGCTTTTTTTTTTTTTTTTTTCAGAGTAAAGATAAATAATGCACAGTTGTCTTCTCCGCTTCATTTTAATACACAGCAATTCGTCCTTCATAAACAGTTCCCGCATTAACGGGAAGAACAGTGAGAGGAAAAACCAGAGTGATGTAGAGTTTGTGCTCAGATCTGTGCGACAGAAACTTAATTCTTGCAAGCCACTAAGGCCAAACAGATGTATTCATACTTTCACAGCCGTTTGAACTCTCAATGTCATTGTACTCACTTATATTCTTTGTGTGTGTTTTATATTATCACCATCTTTGTATGTATTTATGGGGCACAGTGTAATCTGTAAGAGTAGCCTGCATCATCCCTGTATCATTTGAATAGGTCTGAATATGTTAATCCCCACCTCAGTAGATATTGAATTGACTGGAGCAGCTCTGCAGGCAATGCGAGCTCTACACGATCCTGTCGACAGCAAGGCTTTGATGCTGCCGTGCTGTAATGATAGTAATTCAAACAACATGATAATGGGGGGATAAGCAGACAAATGATATCATACACCAAACAGGTCTTAGAAAGAGAGAAAGAATGAGGCAAATAGCGAGAGAGGTAGAGGGAGAGGAAGAAAGAAAGATGTTTGGAATTCATCGGCTGCACTGAGGTAATTTATATCCTCCCTTACTGAGACAGTAGCTTCAGTGCGCGCATTTAGCCGTGGCAATCTTCAGGGCAGATGACATGTTCCATGTCTTTTTATTTATTAATTTTACACTGTGTCTCATTGCAGGAAACATGACTTCTCTCTGTAACCAGAGGCGATAGAAGGGAGAGAGCAGAGCGGAGAGCAGAGGCAGACAAACGACTCTATCATTCTCTCTGTCTCTCTAGGTCATGCTTCTCCAGCTAGCTCATGCTCATTCCCTTTGTTTAAAGTTTGCAGCGTGTGCCAGGCATACCCTACTAAAGCCTCTGTGTGGAGGAATCCATTATGTTTGTATTTTGGCATGGGTGAAAGGATTTGGGAGGAACCATGATGACTTTATAAACAGTTATAGTCCATTTGTTTAGAGATGCCAGAAGGCTTTCGTTTTTACCGTATCACGTCTACATCTTTCGCCTCAGCTGAGCACAAGAATTCCCTCTCCGGTATTTGTTTAGTATAGTAGTAAATGTATTCTGTATCAATAAAGAGATTGTGAACTCTGAACAGTCAAGCTTATTTGTCTAGACAGTGATGGAGTCTAAGTGAACTGGGAATAACCAGTTGCTATACAGTCAGGCAGTTAAAACGAAGAGCGCCATGCATACATGCACAACACTTTGCCCTAGTGACTCTGAGCTATTGATAGAACACACGCACAAACACACACACACACACTATTGACTCTACCCTCTCAACTCTGCTGTTCTGAACTCCTCTTTGTTTGTGTGGGAAGCTGAATTTACATAAGAGGCTTATGTCAGCCGCCACATAGTTTCCCCCCTTATTCCAATGAAAAACAAAAAGGACAAAAGCTATTGTCTTGTTAAGTAATGATTTTTGGATTTCTCCAAACTAGTTTGTGCCGTTCTGGAGGTGGTTAGGGGGTTGTGGTGATGTTCAGGCTGGGCAAAGGTTTTTGGGGGTTGGGGCTGGTAACACAATACAACAATGAAAGCAGATGAATGCTGAGGTTGACAGCCGTAAGGCTTATGATATGGGTGTTTGTTTATGTAAATTGAGAGTAACAATATGACCTTGTAGCTTTGATGCGTGATTGACAGAAAGAGGGTGGATAGGATGCAGAAGGGATCTGTGGGTTTTCGCTTTGGCGACATCACACTACACATGAACTTGTGCATGTTCACAACTCACACATGTGCTGTATCACAAAACAGTAATCAGATATACAGTAGTATCACTAAACACAGTGGCCCAAGCTGATCTTGTTGGGGCAGGGATTTCCTTATATGCCAAGACATTTGTTTACTTACTTGCTTTTACATACAGAGAGAGGTCTAAGCTGCTTCCATAAAGCCATTTCAGTGCCTCTTAATGTATATGTAAAATTCTGCTTCTGAATAGAAAAGGCAACAACTTGCATTTACCACCACCACCATACAGTATATTTATCTATATGTGCCTTAGTGTTTTTGGTTCTGACATTGTGTCATTTTTTTTCTTTGTCTTGTACAGTATGTATCATACATGGTATCTTGGGGCTTCAGAGCTACACCAGCTCCTGTTTCATCGGTTGTGGACCACTGAAGCACATAGTTGCTGTTCTTTGTGACTTGCTCTCTGTGCTACAGGCTTTTCCTCTCTCTTCTCTCATGGAGCATCATTCTGTGGGAGGATGTGAGACGATAGATAGATGAATGTATAGAAATTGTGAGGTAGAGGTTAGAGACGAGTGCAAAAGGTTAAAGAGGTCAGAAGAGACCAAGCACAATCAGAAGAAGAGTTCTGCTGTCTCGTCCTGCTGAATGGTGTAAGATTTGAATGCTTTTGTGCAATGCGATTTGAGTGGATGAATAGACTTTAATCCTCAGCCCGTTGAAATTCAAAGCCAGAGCATTTGCTTACATTTCCAGAAGTGTCAACACATTTGAACAACAGAATGTTTCTAAAATTAAATTCTAATTCAAAACCATTCTGAAGCTCATGACATATTACCACACACCAGTCCAAAAGTTGTGCTATGTGCATGCTTTCCATACTCATTAACAAACTCTTGCCCGACATAAGCATAACCAATCAGCTTTAATATGCCTCTTTGGCTGTTCTGATGACGTTAACCCTGTGTTATCTAATGTTTATCTGTGATATAGCTGTTGCATAAACATTTTTATTTCTCGTTTTCTTTTTTCTCTTTTCTCTGTTGCAACTGTCAGCAAGCAATGGAGGACCTGCTGGAGGACGAGGATGAGGATTTTGACAAAGATGACAAGGTAATTATGTCTTGTGTCAGGGATTCACTCACACACAAACACATACATACATACACACACACACACACACATATATGCGCTCCCGATCACACAAACACATGCATGGACACACACACACACACATACATACATAGACACACTGCCTCAGGAGGGGTTGACACTGCTTCACAGACCGGAAACACAAACAGACAAACGGAATGACTCCATCTTCCCCTCCTGTCTCCTCCGCTGTTCAGTTATTCTCACTGCCTGAGGCGCAAACATATGTACAAAGATTGCACAACCTTTTAACCTTTTGAAAAGTTTTCTCTGTAGGTGTATACACAGCACATCCTTTCCCTTTCTTCTTTGTGGTTGGCTTTGCTCTGATCTTTTGCTGCAATTTGGTGCACAATCCTTATTTTTCCCTCCATATAACACTATGTCCAATTTGCGTTACTAACATTGTTCTTCAGCTTCCTGAGATCATGCACCCTTATAAAGTGCTTAGTTAGCTATTTAGGTCCATTCACTGCTCCTTTATGTCCCAGTAAAACAGCATCTGGGCTTGTCCAGACACTATCAGGTAACAACAGGTGGCTGCTTTACTGCCTCCGCTCGTTTACACTGGAGGAACAGCTACTGAAGCAAATGCCACTGGATAGGATACAGTACCTTGTCAATGTTCCACTTGGGAATGTTCACTGAAATGGTAAAGCTCTTTATCCACCTACTGTGTTGTCTGGATTTTGGTGAGGCAAATATATCATTTTCCGTTTGATACTCCAGTCTGATCAGACTCGAGCAGTGTTAAACAAGACATAACTTGAGTATGTGAAAACTGTAAAGTACCTTGACTGAAAAATCTGGAATTGAAATTATTTGAGCTGATACCTGATGCCTTACAGCCGCACTCCAGCAATATAAAGGTTAGCAGGCTAAGATGTGGTGATTTGCATGACCTGGTTTGGTAAACGTTTTGGAGCAAAACAAATTGCCTGGTCAAATTGCCTGGTCAAAGGCCTTTCCAATTACCATTGCAAACAGTAATGGTAATTGTAAAGGCCTTTGACCAGGCAATTTGATATCTGAAAATTATTTCGCCTGAGGACATTCTCTAAGCTGAACTTACGTATGCAACTGCAACCTCACTACACCCTCTCCCATTTTTTAAGGGTCAAAAGTGCAAGAAGGCAACAAAAGGGTTAAAATAAAAAAAATAAAAAAACACATTTATAGTGCAGATGGTCAAATAGTCATCCCACCAGTAAGTCAGCCATTCAGGCAATCAGTCAGCCAAGCAGCCAGTCGGGCGATGAGCACACAAAGATACGTGAGCATTACATCCTCTCCCACAGTGATGCAGAAGCAAAGTTTCATGGCTGTGAAGTTCCAAGGCTGAAATGTACAGGGGGGCACTGACTGAAGATATGCACCAGGCAACCTTGAACCATTTTTTTTTTTTTTTTTTTTTTTTACCCCTTCTTAACGTCTGCCTCCCATCACTGCATTTCCTACCTCCTCTCAGGGAAAAAATAAAAATACAGGCATTTGAAAAGCTGCAGATTATATGAAATACATTTTGGACTTTCATATTGAAATGAGGTGCAGCGGCAGCTTGTGCGGCCTCCGTCAGATTTGGTGCCAAACTGATTATTCCACATAAGAAGGCCTTGCTCTCTGTGCTCACACAGGGCTGGGATGCTGGATAGCACAGCCACCACAAAGGCTACAATTTACCAACTCTGGCTTCATACATTTTGATCTATTGCTCCCCTCAACTGTTAGCATTTCATTTGAGCTGTAGGGAAGTTGAAAGGGGGGCATTTTTCTTTTTTCTTCACCTACATCTCTCTCCCCTCCCACTCTCCTTCTACCCTTCCCTCAATCGTCCCCTTCCCTGCCTTTTTTTCTCTCTTTCATTCTGACACACATTCTCTCTCTCTCTTTTCCCTTTGCTCTCCCTTCAACCTGGTTAAGTGCAGAACAAATGGAGTTTCAAGGCTTAACAAATTTGCCTTTTACATTGGATATGAGGTCTTTTACATTGGATATGAGGTAACTTCAGATTGTATGAGTAAGTATGAAGGACGGGTCAAAGGAGGCCTCTTTTATGGCACAGCCCTATAGGGGAGAGAGGGAAGAAGAGAGAGAGAGAGGAGGGGGAAAAAACATTAATAAATGTGCCAAGGCCTCATTTTAATTGAACTTGAAGCATATGTTGCAAGTATGTACAATCCGTCCCAGATGTTTACTCCGGCCATGTGCACAGCTCTTCCCAATGCACCACAAGGCAGCTATTAGCTGGATAACCATTGCTCCAGAGGCTAAATGGGGTATTACATGGCCAAAAAGGAGAGCACCTGTTTTTCATTGCAAAGAGGACCCCTTGCAGGCCTTTTGCCTTGGATCACCACATGTGTTTTGACTTAACAGATTGTTGGGGAGACGTGAAAAGTGTCTTTCTTGTGAGCAAGCACTGATATTAGTCACTTAATCTCAATGAAAGTCCAGCATCTAGACTAATTGATGGGGACGGCTCAGTTGTTAAAGCCAAACAGGCGGGCACATGAAGGGTGAAAGAATGTTAGACATGAACTATTTTTTGTGTGTGCTGACCTTCAACATGGAATGTTGCTTGATTCTTATTGCCTACACACACACACACACACACACACACACACATGCGTAAAATATGTGAGCAGTATACTGCCCCACTTTTTAACCTCTATTTTCAAGAAAACTAATTTTAATCATGGTGGCATGTTGCAGGTGCACCTCTTTTCCTTTAGTGATGCCATACAAAGGATAAAACACAAAGTAAAAAAAAAAAGCATACTTAGAAATAATGTGTTATATATATTCCACATGAAAGGATGTTGCAGTGGTACTATAAAGAAGTTTTTTTTTTTATTGCAGATAAGGTTTTCATACATTCAAAGAGTCCAAAAGAACAACCATGACTTTATGCAGAAACCTTTTTATTCAGACTCATGCATTTAATGTGTTTGAATGTAATTTAATGGTGGTGGAAAACTCTGCCTACTGTTTATCTTCACTTCAAGTTCACTTTAATAAAATATTTATTGAACTCAGGCAGTGATGAAATCATATACCATTCAGTTTTTTCATCTCTATTTTTTATAGATCTCCAATATACTGTAGCTAAATACATATTATTAATCAAATGGGTGTCATTATGAACTCTGAGTCCTAAACTCACTAACTTCACAGCTGTGATTGAGTCACTGAATGAAGGATTCCCACTGGATCTTAATTTTGACATGTAATCCAGTTAGCCGCCCCTGTGCCATGTACGTCATGTACTTCCTAGTAACACTGATTTTATTTTACTGGAATAATATCAGAGATGTAGTTGTCATTGAAGATTATTTACTTTGTTTTGGAAAATGATCTTTAGGGAGTTTTCATCCATAATCTAATAGAATTATTATGGCAGTGTTCACATCCAAGTATCTATAACTTCTTGTCACCTCAACCATTCCTTCAATCCCAAGGCAACGCAAACATGGGGTTTTTTTCCATTTAATTCAGTCTTTCTTAATTTTAAAATGTGTCCCTCTGTGTCTTTATGTGCCTTTTCAGTATCTTCCAGTAGAGCTTGGAGTAACATTGTGAGACTTTGGCAGTGTGAGATAGCAGAAACATGCAACTCAGCCCTGTAGTAACAGGTTACTGGCTGCAGGGGCTTCAGTGTGCAATGTAGCCTGTGATGTCTCCTCTCACCTGTGGGGTGACTGTCCAGAGCTGGTATGAGGCAATCACCTTAGGCTCTGTATGGGTGTGAGTGTTTGTGCGCATAAATATGTTTGTGTGAGCGTTTCGCTTATGTGTAGAGTGGCTCAGCTGCCTCCCAGAGGGGGGGCTTACTGGAAAAAGGGAGAGAGGGAGAGAGAGTGAGAGAGAGACAGACTGAAGGAGTGAGGAGATTACCCTCACACGGTTGACTGGTCACTGAAGCGCTCATGCTCCGCTCAGCTAGGCTCCACTAGCCTCAGGAGGACCTGACACAGATAAGATACACACTGCAATCATGTCCTGCTCACGGGCTTACTGCTCGGTGCACTCCCTCTCTCTTTCTCTCTCTACGTCTATCTGTCTGTATCTCACTCACACACATACAGACACACACATGCACCTACAAGATCTTTCTCCTATCCCGTTTCTCACTCATTTTCTCCTTCGCTTCCTCATGTGCACAGTTGGCGGTAAATATAGGGTAGATTTTATTCTTTAGCTTATCTGTAAAATCTGAATGAATTTTTAGTCATCATTTAGTCTTGTATAGACCCAATTCTCCAAGGCATTCCCCAATGAATCAGCGATTACATTTTTTTTTCATCCAGTTTGGAGGTCAGACCATTACACTGTTTTTCCGTACTGTTTTTGACCTGTTTAGGCACCAGTTTATCCTAATTGTCATATGATCCAGTTCTGAATAATTGAGGGTAGCTTTCTTCTGATATATGTGCATCTTGCATGACATGCAATAATTCCCACCCAATTGTTGGTTGAAAAAGGTTAGAGCAAGTTGGAATGCACATCTGGTTTCAGCTCATTTTATGAGTGCTATATAGTATTTTTTTTTTTTTTTATCATTTGGAGGTTGTATTGATGACTCCACTGTGTATACAAGACTGAGCATACATGATGCTCTGTTTCTTCATCTCTCCTGCCACGCAGTCATCGTCCTACACCACAGTATCTCTTTATGCTCCTCATCTATAGTGCTGAGGCAGCCCTTCCACCCTCTGCAGCTTTCCCTGTTGGTATGACTCATGCACACATATGTGTATATACACACACACACAATCCTGCATATATGTGTGTTTATCAATGGTTCTCTAGCAAGGATATAACTCCTGGCAAAGGGCTGGTAACAGCACACGTATCCATTTCTCATCCTGCAGGCCTCACAACCATTGTCAGCTGCTGATTTTAACAGTGTCTCTTGTCTTTCTCTCCCCCATCTCTGTCTCGGCTTCTGTCTCTTCTTCTGT